GAGAAAAAGGAACAAGCTAAAGCAAGTAAAGGAGCAAATAATTTATAAGCATAGGCTTTAATTTGAGGGTTGCATATTCCCAAGTCATATACTATACACTAAAAACTAGTACTATAGTAGCTTCCAATTTTCCTGCATCATGTTCTATACTTCCAATTGGCCCTGCTAAAAATAGCACATAATTGGTACCAATGCAGCTGGCAATCTTTCTAACCATTGGTTTCGAAATCATATAGTTAAACGAGGTTGTAAGAACTACACGACGCGCACGTAACAAGCTTATATACATGAGATCACCTATGTTTTATAGGCATCATTTGTCTTCATACATCAATTTGTCAAAGCAGTTAAATATTATCTCAAAGTTGTACACGAATGATCGATTTGATCAGGTGCGGTCACATGTGATGAACATCTATCACTGCAGAAAGAAATGAAACACAAAAGCTAGATAAGGATACGTGATGCTAAAAGTTGTCGTTTAAGAAATTACATACAATGATAGATGATCGATCTAACCTACTTTAATCTTCATCACGTTTAGTGTGCAGCTGGCCACACCATGTTGCCACTTGTAAAAGAATAAAGTAACCCGTATAACACTTACCGAGTAACCCTGCAATGCTGACCGAATAACAATAACCGAGTAACCCCTATAACGCTAACGAAGTAAAACCTGTAACACTAACCAAGTAACCCTATAACAGTTCGAAGTAACCTTTATGATGGTTGGCCACACGGTATGGCCAGCCATATACGAATATTTTGTATTGAATCTTAGCTTTGTAGAATGGCATTATATGATATGATATGGTATGATATAATTAATACCACAAAAACGATTGGTGATCGAGAATTCACCCATGTCATCGGAAGATGGCATGATATCTTATTGTGATTTGCTTATATGTTAGTTTATATATACATCTATCTTTTGTACATGTTTTTGTTCTTTTGCTAGCCAACTGTTTGTTATCAAAATTTTCCTTTTGCTTTTCGTTGCCTTTACTCGATTATTCGAGTATTGAGTCTCTTCTGACTTATTGTGTGATCTTTATACTGTTTTTTTTCTTTGCTTTGAGTGGCTTTCGTTTTCGCTTATGAATCTTGATCAACATGTTTTGGGACAAATATAGATGCTAGTTAGATAATGAAAGCTTTGGTAGTCAAATTTATGGCATTGTCACCTTATGACTTCTTGAACTGAACTTCGTTTGGTTTGCTTTGCTTTTAAGTGAAATTTGGACCAGAGAATCACTTGTTTGGGCCACTAGCTAGCTTGAAGAATATGAAAACTTCAAGGCTAAACCATGAGGCCGATACCTCAACCCATTGAAAAATAATGCTCAAAATTATTATAAAATTTGATTGCGTGTGATGTATGCTTTAAATTTCAATATAAAGAAGTTATTTACAATTTATCCGAAGAAAAACAATGATCATAAAAATTGCCATTACATAAAAAGTAAGGGTATTTAGGTGGATATGAAATTGTTCAAGAGTTAGCTTATAGAATAAAGTTTATTAGTTAAAATTTTAGGATTCCGTTAATCTTACTTGCAAGTCAGTGTTATTTCTAGTTATGGTGCAAATTTGTAGCAATGTAACTATGTAAGTTACAGTTTATTTTATGAGCAAATTAAATTGATGTGAAATATGATTACTTAAGAATGAATTGTACTGAGATTACTTTTATGGTAAATGTCTTCATTTCTTTTTTTGTTATTCATACTCCAACACAACCTTTGCAAAGTAATTTTCAAAAGTTGATGCTAAAGGTTACAAATGAAAGAACAAAAGTTATTTTCGTTTGACGTGATACTCATTATATACGTTTCTTTTTGTCTTGTGTATCATTCATGACAAATTTATATATATATACGTTGATGTATATACTACCTCAGTTTCATATTATTTGCAACTTTGGGGTATTATTTGTGAAATATAAAATATTTCAAAGTTGTAAAAAATATGAAACGGAGGTAGTATATTATATGTGTTTTAAAAAATTTACAAGAACAAATATATTAGACTATAAAATTATTTACTAATATAATCAAATGGAGAAAAGTAGCCTAAGGTTCACAATGTTGAAGAGAGCAAAGAATAAAATCAAATGGAATTAAGGAAAAATAAGCACAGGGGAAAATTTTGAAAAGTCAATATAAAGGAATGCTAGTCATAGCTACACCAGCCTTCGATGGAGGTTGGCTAGTGGTGGCGCTTTGCCAAATCCCACAGGCGCGGTGCAGGAAAACCTGTAGGCAATTGAGCCTCAATTCGAATTGAGCTTACCTTTGGGAGTCTCAAGCAAGCTAGATGTTCTAAGGTCGATGAGCTTGAAGCTAGAGCTCAAGAACTTCAAGTTTGCACCCAACGCGCCTATGCCTGATGTCCGTAATCTTGTTAATTCACCCCATATATATAATTGAACCGAAACACTTTAGGCTAACCCGTAATAGTCATCTCAAAATCACATTATAAGCCTAATTTTGGATGATACTACCATCGTGGGCATCGTCTTATATGATGATCCTTTCGATTACAAAAGAAATTAAAGATGATTGTAATGGAATGCCCTTCTTATCCTTGTAGATAGCCTATAGTAACAGCTACATAATAAGTTTTGAGAAGGAAAAATACACAAAGGTTAGGCAAGTCTTCTCTCAAAACTAAAAGTTTACATAATATACTGTATGTGAATATGTGATCAACGATCATATATAGTTACAAGGAGGCGGAATCCGCAACATCCACAATTCACATTTAGAACGTTGCTATTTGCTGCGCTATAACGTCAAGTTGCGAACAATAGAGATCGAAAACTTTTTACAAGAATATGCTTACTCAATAACCCACATCTTGTGCAAATGGGAAATTCAACTGATTATTCCTGATTAGTGGAAACATGTCTGCTAACTTGTTATGAAGATGATGGGATCAATGGCGGATCTTCTATGGGGGCCTACTGGGGCCTAGCCCCTGGTATAGCCCAAATAAATGTTAGTTCTAAAGCCCAATTCATGAGTTATAAAAATGTAAATTTATGGTAAGTAAAAGATTGTGTACTTGTTTGGTTGACACAAAAAAGACAAAAAAATCCGAATGGAAAAATAAAAATTTACGCGAATTTTAACCTCTCTCAAAACATAAAAATAAAAGAATTTGTTAGAATGAAACGTTTGATTTTGTATGATAAGTTTGAACCCTGATAACAAATTACTCAAGATCCGCCACTAGATGGGATGAGATCATCTCACCCTAATTTAACCAGACATTAAACACTAGATTATACGAAATAATAAAATAGTCACACTTAAATAACATCCCCTTGGACTCAAAAAAACTTTATAATAAGATCAAAAGATTTTTCCAAAGAATTCAAGGGTGGACAAAAGGGTAGTAAATATCAAACCTCTTCTTTCCCCCTTAGATTATGTCTATGGGAACATTCTTTTTCCATTACATCTAACAGAATTTCCCAGCTCTACCTCCAAATAAAAAATAGAAAAGAAAGGAAAAAAGCAAGGTTACTTGAAGAGTTCACCAGGCTTGTCCGTTTGAGCAAAATTATAGACCACCAACGTCTTTCTTTTTATTTCTACAAATATTTGGTTATCGGTTTAAATTTAAAGGTAATATTGAAAGTAGTAAATCCATCCTATCGGATCTGAAACCCAATAATAATGTTATAAACAGCAGTCAAGAAGTGCTTAAGTGGAATAGAGAAAACAGCAATTGGAAGCAAGAGGCCCCACCAAGCCTTGTTGCAGTGATGCAACACAACCAAAGCCCACCCAGAGGAAAAAGGCAGCTAATGGTTGGAGTCTGGTGGAGCCATGCAATGCCCAAACTAGAGGGCAGGGTAAGATCTAGAATGATATTGGAAGCAAACCAAACCTACCTCTGATTCATCCAAGCAGATTACGAGTCAGCAAAACAAAACAAAGAATAGCAGTACACGCTCCTCCATAGAAACCTTCATCTGAATATGGCCCAATATATATATATAATTTGATGAAAAGCATAGACCCAAGGAAACCTTTAAGTCCTCAACCTTGCAAACAGCAGCATAGACACCAAAAAAATTTACTGCTCTCAGAAGCTATTATCTAGTGGAAGGAAGTGGAATACACCAGTTTACTGCTTCAAGACAGCAAAACATGTGAATCCCTTACCATATAAACCAGATTGAGGAAACCACCAGAAGAAATCACAGTCCCTAACCAATATACCCTCAAAAAGGTGGCAAAAAGTCAAACACAGTCTAGGTGGTCAAATTAACCATGATTCTGTTGCACAATTAGTAATGAGGAAAAGTGCAAAGACAGGGCTGCTAACAACTTAATCAACATGATTGAAGGTCATCGATGAATGGTGAAACTGGCCCAATGATGAAATTCTCCATCACTTCTCAGCATAGATCTGTCTGTCTGCTGCAGACTAAGTAAAATCCAAGATAAGAGCACAGTCAAAAGCAGATGGGGTTCAAAATTGAAAAGGAAAAAAAAAATGATATCTAATGTCTAGCTTATAACAAAGGGAAAAGCAAGATAAATGATAAGCTTTAAGATTAAAATTGGATACAATGCGGCCCGAACGGACATGAAAGGCAAGGCTGGGTGCTATCTAGGATTGTTCTCTCTCCTCCAACTCTTGGTCTCTTGGAGAATAAATACCTACATATACACAAAGTTTATGTCTTCAACCTGAGACAGAAGTGTTGTCGATACTACCTTTCTCTTTTGTTGAAGAAGGTATAATGTCTCTAGAAAAATATGCCATTCACTAATTTATAAGGTCAATGTTAAAGAAATTACTATTCCCTGCTACATGATAAAACAATTGATTCAAGTTTGATTGTCATATGCATTATCAATGTCAGAAGACACAGAAATAAGCAGGGATTAGATTCATAAATGAACCATCAAAAAGCTCATAAGATAACCAAGCCCGCCAGAACACATTTATCACCCATTAACACGTAGAAGAAGATAATATAATTTAAGAATACTTCTGTATTATTTATCAAAAACTCTTTTAGGTCACCACTCATAACAATGTAATATTATGATCCCCCTCCCCATCTAAATAAAACAACCCTCCTTAGCAAAAAACTCCAGCCAAAATTCGAGAATCAATTGAGGCAGAAAATTATTAAAACCATGTCATAAAAGTTATTCCGTAAGGTTACAAGGATGCAACTCTCAAGTAGCACAGGAGCAAGAAGAGCTCAATACATGAGTTTGAATCAAATCAATCTAATCCAGGCAAACCCAGGACAGAATTGACAGCTGTTTGACCATTAATATTAATGGCTTTCACTTTTTACAGATGTAAAACCACATGATAAACGCGAATGTCATGAATGAAAGTCGCCATAATTATTGAATTACCAAGACGTAGCACTAGTGAAAGCCCGAGGGAGGGATTAATCACAGTGTATCTTTGCAAAATTCTGATACATACAACCAACAAGCATAAAAATTACAGAGAAGGTGATACCTGAGTTGAAATAATGTCGTGATGGAAGAACAACTTTGACTTGCTAGCATTAAATCAAAGCCAAGAGATGTAAAATTTCTTCTCTAAAGTCTAAATACCGAAAGAAGATCCAAACCCTGTGCTAACGAGAAATTTCTTAACAACATCACCAATTTCACTAGCATATGGAAGCACAAATGTCTGGATGAATTTCTCATCCCCAAATCAAAGCCAAGAGATGTAAAATTTCTTCTCTAAAGTCTAAATACCGAAAGAAGATCCAAACCCTGTGCTAACGAGAAATTTCTTACCAACATCACCAATTTCACTAGCATATGGAAGCACAAATGTCTGGATGAATTTCTCATTGCCAATCTTACATAGAGTAGTTGGCCTAGGCTCCTTCTGAAGTAAATTCTTTGACAAGAGTACATTGACGATATCCAAGCGAGGCTTAATCCTAAAAGCAGCACTATAAATTAACAATTCAGAATGCTGAACCAAATATGATACATCAACACTCCCTGAGCTAAGCAACAGCTTGGAAACCTCCAAAATCTTCCTCTCCGATACAGTAAGCACCTGAGGTGTTCTTCGAAACATGGACAGAATATCAGCTTCACTAAAACCCAAGGTTTCGAATAGCTTCACTTTGGACGCCCATTTTTCTAGAGTCATAGAACTCACAGCCCGAACGCCATGAATGTACATTTTCGAATTCCTTCCTAATCCCAACTCATCAACCCTCCTCATACAATCCCTCATAAACTCAGGTTGCACCAAGAAAAACCTAGGAAAACTAAGAAGAGTTTGCCTAATTTGCAATTTGCTAATCCCACATTCCTCCATCAACTGAATGTTAGGCAGCAGACTTTTATCCAAATCATTACTAAGAAACCAATTGCAAAGCTTTAACAGCTTAATAACATCATAGTTCGAACCCAATACACTTTGCAACACAGAAATCGTCGAAACGACACCATCAACTGATCGAGACAGGGTCAATATTAACGGAACAGAACATAATAAATCAACCAATTCATCATCTGAAAAACCTAAATCCTTAATTCTTTTGACTTTAACTCCAACAGACTTGTTAACATCAACAGCAAGAACACGAGGATGACGTACAACTAATTCCTCCAACTGGGTACCCGAAATTCTTATATTTTTCAAGAAATCAAGAACTAAATCGGATTTTTTATAGTCCTTCAAAGGGGTCAGAAGAGTAGCTGTTTTTGAAGCATTTTCTTGAGAGAAATTGTGGTGTGTAATCAAATAATTCGTAAATTCACAATTGGGTTTTTCAATTTGGGTCACTTGAGTTGAGAAAAAGGGGAAATTGGGCAGATTGATGAAATTGGAAGATTCATGTTTGAGTGAAAAAGATGTTAGGATTCTTCTTAAAAAATGAGGAGTCATTGTTTTTTCTTCAGGTATAATTAGTTCTACAACAATCAGGCATTGAGCAAAACTATTAAATTCGTTTTTCAATAGTTTAGAAAAGAAATGGATGAGAGACTCGCCTGCTTGATGAATTGGCTGAAGCTTCAAATGTGGTTCTTCGATCTCTTTCCCAATTCTCCCAGATTCACTGTTTTGGATTTGCGCAGCGTTTACTCGTTTAGGGTCCCTTGAGTTACTAATTACTCGATTAAGGAAGGTTATGAGCATTAATACTATAGTAGCGGCCTCATGAATAGTTAAAGTGGTTAGAGTTTTTTTTTGTTCAGTATTAAAATAACGATTTGTCCAACGTATGCTCAATAGAATTCCTAAAAATAATTTTTTTTTTTTTTTACAGGTAAGAAAAATAAACATTAGGAAGCCCTCCTCACAAGGGAAATTCCTAATATATTTTGATAATTCCTAAAAACAATATGAAGATGCAATCTGTTAACAAATTAAGGACCTATATATATATGGATTGTGGGCAAATTGTAAATCTTCTTGAGTAACATTCTTTCAACATACACAGCCAACTAATCAAGACAACATATTTCAACACATCAATCACGAATTCACAACATCTCAATCACAATTATTTTCTTATAAATTATCATTTAAACAACAACAAATACCATCAACTCAAATAAATAAATATTAAATAAAATTATTTCTAAATTTTTGATTAACCATTATCAAAACTTATAATTGTTCTTTCAAAAAAAAAAAAAAAAAAAAAAAAAAAAAAACTTATAGCTGTTAATAAAACTCTTAGGGCTTGGCATTGTTTTTTATTTTCAATTTTCTAAATTTTTTTTAAAGCAAAAAATCAAAAACAGGAAACAAGAAAAAAGACGTTTCCACTTTTCAGTTGTCAGCTTTCAAAACTATCTTGATTTTAATAAATTTGATCATTTTTTATTCATTAATAACACATATCATATAATTTTGAAAAATAAAAAACCAAAAAAAGAAAATCACAGCGATACCAAATAGACCCTTAATCTTTAGTTTTATCAATTAGTTATGAACTGTTTTTGTTATATTTTTGCAATTCGATTACCTACCATTTAGGTTTTTTTTTTTTTTTTTCCTCCTCCTTCTAAACAGATGGCCTTTCTATTCAAGAAACTAGAAAAATTCAAGGGATGGCTGATCATGACCAGTGATGGATATGGAGAACGAATCTATTGGGCCTCCACCACCGGTAGGGCTGACCTCCATATCCAATTATCCAATCCAAATTTTAAAAAGATGGCAAAACACTATGTTTTATGACCCATTTCCACGTTACATGTTTCAAACGAACATGCTCAATAAGGCCACCATTGAAACGTAAATATGTGTCATTTATTTGTTAGCCATAATACTTTTAACATGCCTAACTACATTTGCTTTAAGCTTTACGTCAATTTCTTAGCAATTTTTCAAACACAAGAAGCTTCTCCTTGTCACCCTCTTGATGTTATGGGTGTTCATCATACAGTGACACACTCATTATTTTTAAAATATACCTTCTCACAATTAGAAGTGTAAATTCAAATAATTGGACTGGGTTTGGTTGGATCTAGTCGAGTTTAGTTCGAGTTTGAGTCATACTAAATCTTTGTACTCATGTAATTTGGAATATGAATTCATGTTAGTTTTTTACACCTTTACTCTGACTCACATTCTTTTATAATTTATAGATATAGGTATAGGTATAGGTATAGGTATAAGTATGTAGTGGGTACACATGAGAATCACTTGATCTAATTAAGAGTTCTAAAACTTGAATTGAGTTTAATTAAATTATACAATCCTTGATTTCTACTCTGTATTCCCAGTAGAAGGTTGTGTGACTACAAAGTATAACATTTTAATACCTTGGCTAAGCGTAATCTTTCAAGGTCATGATCTCCACACCATGAAATAACTTATAAAATGACTTCTTTTTTTTTTTTTTTTATTCCAACTCTACTTTTAAATGTTTTTTTTTTTTTTTTTTTTAATAAACCCACAAAGGGGAAACTACTTTTAAATGTTTTAATTTGTGATATTTTAACCTTGAATAATCCTATATTTTCAACAATCCACTACCAACAAGGCAACAAGTCAACAACAATTAGATGGGAGCTTAACTAAGTGTTTATAGTTGGTTAAACATCCACCCTCTCGTGCGTCATTATCTTTAATCATTACTAGTTTATAATTACTACTAGCAAAGAGAAATTTAAGTGATTATTCTATCATTAAACTACAATTAGCATTATGCTAGATGATTTGCACCAAAAAAAATAAATTTAAACTAATTAAAATAAATCAATAAACCAAGAATCTTCCTCAGGTCCTTCATCAGTTACATCGGCTCCTACCACTATACCACACCATTATTAGTGATAATAAAAAGTCACTTAGGGGAAGGTACAAGTTTGTATAAAATCAAAACCAAAATCATGGTGATCAAAAGGAAATATTACGGAGTATTAAATTAACTAAACATACTCATTAATGGTCCCCTCGATTTTTATATCTATTAATTAGTTTCCTTGATTAAGTTGTAATTCTATTTAAGTGAGAGTTTTTTTTTTTTTTTTTTTAATGGAAAGTGTAATATTGAACAAATTATTTGAAAAGTTCACTTGGGTGCTAGTTAGTTTGTTTATTGTGATAAAAAAAAGTGGTTCCCTAGTTAACATTTTAATAGTTATTGTTGAATCACCAAAAAAAAAAAGAAGTATACCTATAAGATGACTTGAAGACAATCATAAAATTGAAACCCGTGACACCAAAATGAAAGAAATTTTTTGGCCACGCTTGGAACAAAGAGCATCTTCTTACTAAGGGGTATAGATTACTCTCTTAACCTAGCAAATTAACCTATATTTGATTACCCGATCTATAAATTAAACTCTACCCAAAATTACTTGTTCCTAACTTGACTTAACTCAAATCAATCAGAATATTGTTAAGAAGTATTTATTAATGGATTTTTAAAAGGGTAATAATACTGAATAATTTGACAAAAAAAAAATGACAATAAGTTTGAATATGACCTAACCTAAATCAAACTAACCCATCTTGAACTATTCTTCACCCAACTCAACCAGGCACAAATTGACTCAACACAAATTCGATCCAAACAACTTGATTACTACCTCTAATCACTCATTATTTTTTAATAAGGGGTAAGAAATTGTGAATATGGTAATGAATTTGTATGTAGGTAGTAGGGTGAAGTATCGTGGTAATGTCCATACTAATTAATACTTCGTAAAACTTTAATCCTTACTATACTGATTGGTAATATAAAATATGTAAGGAAATGAATCTTTTCATTGCAGTTATAATGTCAAGAGATAGAGACGGAAATAGGTTACCTAGTAGTCAGATATTTGGTTCCTCCAAATTTTAACAAATAACAATTCACCATCATTACCTATTTGATTTAACCATAATTTGCCTTTCTCATGCGGAACACGACTTACTAAGCTCCTTATCTATACCAATGATCTTCAAAATAAACTAGAAAACTATTAGTATTTAAGTGGCGGTAATGATAATTATGGACTCGATAATGTTGCAAGTAAAGTCTCTTGTCAATATTATGCATAATGCATTGACCAACTTTATCCCGAAACAGTATGTATTATCTTATCCATTCATCACCATTTTTGACATTTTACAAGTTATTATGATGATAGGGTTTGAGTGATAATAAAGTATACGTAAAGAAAAACACATTTTTAATGGGGGATAATGACGATAGACATTGTGATAGAACTTTGTTCTAAACATTAGTTGATTCATTACCAACATACTAAGCTACAACCATTTTATCCTATCATCACCTACTAAGTATTAACCAAGTCTCAATGTAATTGGATTCCTAATTAATTCCTAGATAGTCACAGATACATGTTCCTCTTACTAATTGGTTCTTCTGAACAAACGTAATTCCGCTATAACTAAATCTATTTAGGTTAAAGAACCATATTGAAGAATAGACCTCTCAAGTATCACCACATGTAAGTGTCTCATATTGGTTGAAGAAGAGAGAGTTAATTATTTTATAAGGCTAAGGGGTTACACTCCTCCTATTGTCATATGGTTTTGGGATGAAACCTCCTTTAAATTAGTGAAATGGACTCTTTTTCTTGGTGTAGGGTGCGACCTAGACCCGTATTTAACAAAACATCAAATAAGTATCCGCTACGACTGATCAATCTCACACACATAAATATTAATAAGGCTTACTTAAAACTACTAATTTAACTACTTTCATATGTGAGATCGATAAATATTATCGGACATTAACATAAACTACTTCTCCACCTAAGATATGCAATGACATAATAGCATTTGGCCCAATACATATAATAATAATTCAATAACTTGAGCCAAAAGGTTTCAAAATAATTCAAAGCAACTCAAGTTACAAAAACGTACTATTCCTAACTAATCAATTTGGATAGGGACCATTTTCCCAAAGCTTTATTTCAAGTGCACAACTTCAATCCCATCATTACAACATTCTTGATTTGATAATCAAATCTACTATTCTCAAAATTATGATAACTTTCGGTGTTAGTACAATTTTAGCGTTTTTCTCGGCTAAAAATTACCTTGAATAAGGTTAAATATTACAAACAGTAAATTGTCGCATTTTAAGCTTGAGTGCTTGACCATTTGTCTTTATTATTGACCATAATAATTTATAATTGTGCATGTGTGAAGAAAAAAATGCGATTAAAAAAATATCTAATTATTATTATTAGAGTATTTGCCATTTGTGGCCTTATTAGTGAACTCATAAATTTGCCATTAATTGGCAAAACATAACCCCGTAGCTTTAGTAATAACTTAAGGACCACAAACTTTCCTAAACACGGTAATGCAACACAAGCCAATCTTTAGAAAAATGAAATGTAATTAGGTTTCCAAATTCCAATTTTAATTGTGATTTAAGGTTGATTTGCTGCTGAGAATTAGAACGAGGGAATCCATAAGGACTATAGAGTAGGAGTAAACTAATGTTAAATAATCTATAATAATGTTAGATTCGATCAATAATTAATTAATGGATTTGAGTCGCACCCATTAGTTAATCACTAACTTTATCAACGAAGAGGTTTTCCTCGGACAAAACCAAAGGATAGCATTTACATCGACTATATGTGGAAGTATCGAACTAAAGCAAAGGCAATTACTGACCCCAAAAAAGCTTCTCAATCCATATTGAAACATTATCTAATACTATTCAT